CAGAGGATGTTTGTTGAAGTTTGCTATCAGCAGTCACTGCATGGGCTTACACTGAGTTATTTTGTGTTAGTCAGAGCTCTGGATTTCTTCATGCAAACATGGGATGTACTATCTATTTTTCCCTTACCTTCTCTTTGACTCCTCACAATTCTTTTGTTTATTCCTTTCTCTAATGTATTTTTCTGTTCTTTCTATTCCTTAATTCATGGCAGAGATCCCTGCAACCCTCTGGGACTCCACTTGGCACATTTTGACTGCTTGTGCCATGTAGGGCAGGTCATTTGGTGCTGGAAGCCTGAAATACCCCTGGGAGACTGGCACAGGCACTGCTGGCAGGAATGGGAGAGAAAGGGCATCCTTTCTCCTACCTGCACACAAGGTGCAGGTGCCAGCCAGCACCCTTGATAAAACACTGACTTAGATAATAAAACCCTGCATAGAAAATCCCTATTATCCCTGTAAGATGAAGTTACAGTGGCCTAAGCACATCTGATTGTGCAAACCCAGTCATGGGCCTTCCCCATAGCTGTGTGGGGGGCCACCTGGAAATCCTAGATTTTCCAGGAACTAGAGATAAAACTTTAGGCTGCTTACCACTTGGCCGAGCAGCAGAAACTACACAGGCTACAAACTTCCATTCGGACCAACTGCAATAGTGCTGTGTACAGCTGAAAAAAGCAGAGGAACCCCAGGAGTACAGCACCAACCCCAGATGGGGACCTGTGGGGTGAGGGAGCCAGGATGTCACCGGGAGTGCAGAAGGCACAGTTACATTATCACCACCCATCATCCACCTTCTGCCACAGCTTTCTTTGTGGATCCCCAAACCCTCACATTCTTCACCTCCTGTGCCAAGACCAGCAGACTTGCCATCCCCACTCAATATTTTGTGGCCTCTCTGCCCCACACAGGCCCTTGGGGGGTAGCAAAGTGCTACTTCTGCCTCACCGAGACTGACCCAGCTATGAGGAAGAGCTGCAAAATATCTGGAGTGTAGAAAGAGCTGGTTTTGTCATTATTTCCCAGTTCGATGCTTCCTCCCAGCTGAGGAACTGCACCTCTGCACAAGTGGACAGTGTCACAAATTATAACTCTCACCCAAGAAGACCTAATGACAAGGATTCTTATTTTATAGAGTGGCACAAAACCAGAGGGCCTGGAATGCCGGGATTCCAGTTTTGGACTATACTTTAGAAGATAAATAAGGAGACTAATTGTCTTAATTTATTCCATAATTATTTTAATTATTAATCACTTCCTTCTTTCTTACCTTTTATCAGGTTTACAGGTGGGAGTGTTCCCGAGTCCTGAATGCAGGCTCTGCCCCTGGCATGCTCCCGTGACTCACCAAGTTTGTCTTTATCTCCTTGCACACCTTTCATAACTGGACTTTCTTGAAGCTGTATCATTGCTTCTGGGGATGCAGTAAGTAGGCTATATCTGTACACTTAAGTTGACTCACTTGGGAGAAGATGTCTTGCTCCTTCTGCACCGTTCCCACTGTGGATGGTTTTAAAGAGTGAGAGGGCTAAGTCTGATAAAAAAATCGTGGAAGGTATAAGGCTTAACAAACGAGTTTGTTTTTTCAGGTGAAGACTTTTTCAGAGGTCTTATATAAATTTAAGGAGGGCTTTGTAAGGGTTTTCACATAAGGTATTTGCTTTTTGCTGCTTTGGCCAAAGATGACCATGTGAAGCTGCTAAGGCAGCACCCACCCAGCAGAGGCTGGCTCCGACTGTGCTGTGGGACATGAGCTGCACAGCACAGGCACACTGCACCAGAGAAATGCTCACTTGCCACCCAGAGTGGCTCCTTGGCAGATGCATCAAGCACCCTGCAGCTCAGGGACACAGTCCTGGCCATGCCAAGAGTCTCTGTCATGGTTGCTGTATGTGGGTGTGATGCATTCACAGTTTTCCAGGGGAGTGCTCTGCCAAACTGTGTGATGGGCAGGGAGGAGGGAGGTCAGCCAGGACAGGAACTGTGCTGAACGTGTGGAGGCAATGAAGCCATGTCCTGGTGTCACAGGCACATGGGAAGGAGTGGGGGAGAGGGAAGTGCTGACTGAGCCATGAGCAATAAGTAAATCAGGGAAGCAGGAAAAGACAAGCAAGGAAGTTGGTGCTCATTCAGCAAGAATTTGCAGCAGCGAGGCCTGTTTATATGTATTAGTTGATAATATTTTGATGAGAAATTCAGAGACCATGACCTCCATTTTACATAATACAACCCTTCTCTGCCTCTTCCCATCACCCACAGGCAGGCAGGCATCCTTTCAGCGCTGGTTTCAGCATCAGTAACAGTCACCATTTTCTAAGACCACAAGTATGTAGCAAATAATAAAACCCCCAAATCTCACAGAGGAAGGAGTTCAGGCCTGGAGATTGTGCAAGCTAAGTTCTGACTGTGTCAAAGGGAAGTGAGGAAGAGGCACTCTTTGAATGGAGATAGGAACAATGTGTGTCAAAGGGAGATAACTGCATATGGGACTTGTCTGTTTGGATACAAATCAGATCCTCAAAGCTCAGAACATCTGAACATCTTCCATCTTTGGTAATTAAAAAATTATGATTGTAGTGCCAAACTGCAGAAACGGAAAATAATCTTGCCTTACCTTACTAACAGCAAGCAGCTCCAAGTGTCATAGCTGGAAAGGTTTTCCAGAAATATGAGATTTACTGAGACAATGGTATCATCTGCCATATGAGCCTCATGCTCTGCCTCAGTTCTGTCCCTTTTAGACAGGCTAGACTAAGCACTGACCAGGAGGCTCTTTGTTATGACACATACAATAAATACATTTTTTTTTTCCTCTTGAAAACACGTACAATCTCAAACTGTGGTTCACTCCTCATTCTTCTACATCTAATTTCTTTTTATCTGCTTCTATTTTCATCTCAGAACATTAAACTGTGTTGGGTTTTGCCTCCCTAAATAGGCACAGGGTGTGAGCTAAAAAGCTGAATTTTATCTTTCACTGTGAGGCTGGGAGTGCTTTAGCTTGGTGTATTGTGTTGTCAGTATCTCACTGTTGTCCTTTAACTTGACAGCAAAAAAACCTCCCAGTCTGTATTTGTTCCTGATGAGAGAAATACAAGGAGAGAAGGAAACACAGACGAACCTTTTTACTTCATAAGAGATCAGCAAAGCAAATGTTTCTTTTTAATTACTTTTTTTTTTAATTTTTACAAGATTTTTAGCTATTAACATAAGCAATTTATGCATACCATAAAAAATTAACATCAGGGCTGCCCTTTTAATAATTATAAGCAAAGCTATTGCAATTAAAGAGTTGTAGCCTATCTTGCCACATGCATTATTATGTACATTATCCTGGTTATTTACACATTGTAATTAACTGGAACTGTTTTGGTGCTTTGAAAATGTGATTTGTTAGCACTTACAGCCACTTATGGAGATACAAACCCATGTAAAATGTGAGTGCTAAGAATTCAGTTTGCTACGATCAAACTAACATTTTGCTGAAATTTTCAATTTCCTGTCTCTAATCCAAGAAGGGGCTTTTATATACACTAAACATAAAATGGGTTCATGTTTAAAAGACTGACAAAAAACAGCTTACCAGGTGTTCTGTATGCATTAGTCTTAATTTTTCTCGGGCCTGAATGCATCATCATAATGACGGCAGTGAAAAGTCTTTCACCATCTCTCAGATGCAGAAAAAAGGAAAAGGGATCTGCAGAAGCAGTTTTATCCATGTACCTCCTTACCTTGCCCTGCTGAAGTGGTGCAGCATTTGCAGAGGAGGCTGATGTTCACCTCTTGTAGAGAGACAGACTTTCCTGTAAACTGGTCCTAGAGCAGATTGAGAGTTGTAGCCAGCTGCAAGCCACCTCTAGCAAGCATAAGCTATATTACACTGTAATAAGGGTTTTTAAGTCGCTCTGCTTAATACCATCACCCTTTACAGAAGATATGTTGTAACTGATCTACCTCAGCTGATCAGAGGCACTTGATTCATTAAGATGTATTAGGATTCATTTGAGCTGGAGGAGGTTAGGGCTTTGACTTTAAATGAAGCTTTATCTAACAACTACCTTGACAGAAGCACACATTGAAACACAAACTGCAGAAATCCTTGTAATACACAGGTGATGGAAAGGAGTAGTGAGACCAAAAAAAATGTACTTCCTAGCTGAAATCCTGGAAAACGGGTGCAAATTAGTTTATTCAGGTGTGGCTGTAATGCAAAGGGAGAACCTCAGTAAATGAGTAACACTGAAGTAGGATGAAATTCCCAAAGGCTGCTCTTCTAATGTGGCTGTGGGGTATTACTGCTGCTAAACTTCCTCCCTTTGCCCCGCTGATGAATTATCAGCAGTTAACAAAGATTAACTGAAACAGAAATCTCCTACCAGAGAATACAATAGCATATGCATTTTTGTCTGATTTTTCTCATCCATGCAGATGTAAATGCTAAATAGTAAAAAAACCCATAATCAACTTGAATATAAACACTATGTTTTCATACTTAGTAGATACATGAAGCATAGGCTGCCAAGCTATCTGCTCACATGGTATCAGGATTTTGTGTAATGGTGTCTGTGCACGCACATCACGTGCTGGTTTAGGGAGAGAGGATGTTACGCAAGATGCAGTTCACACTGAAATTTTCCAAGCCTGAAGCAGAATCACTTGGAAAGAAATTCTAGGTAAAATGGCTTAGCTATTTCTGAGAATAGGATTTGGAAAATATGTTGTTTTGAATGTATTAAGCCAAAAGTCTAATTTTTTTCTAGGGAAGCTCCAAGAGGGTCAGGTTTTAAACTACCATTTGGCAGTTTGGCCGAAATGGCATCAGCAGTGCATCTTTTGTCATTCTTGTCAATTTGTCCAAATCAAAGCAAGTTAAAATGTTTAGAAACCAGTAGCAGATTGCCCATGCAGGTAGAGACATGCCAATGTGCAGGTACTGAATTCAGACAAGTCCCTCTGTGCCACGAGGGCTTTGCAGCACCAGCTGCCAGACCTGGGAATACATGGGGGATGCAGAGGTGAGAGAGACTGGAGCAAAGAGCAAGAGTGGAAAAACTGGAGGTACATGGGGACAGGGAGAAGACACGAGCTCTGGCTGGAGGATGGGCAGAGATGCTGGTGCTGACTAGAGTCAGGTCCTTGCAGTACCTAAATTCTACACTGCTAAATTCTCTGAGATACACAGGCAGATTAATTATTCACTTGAATTCCTTGTGGATAATCCCACTCCCACACCATATTGTGATCTTGCCAATATCAACAATACTAGTACTTCTAAGAAAGGAAATAATTCTTTAATAAAAGCATTACTGATTTGCTAAGACAAAAATTCCACATGGCAGAGAGACATGGAAGACAGGTTTATTGTGCTGGACAACCATGAAAGTAGGTCAGATACATGCTTTCTGGAGATTCTTGATGGCTGTCATGGTGTGACAGCTACAGAAACAATTGTAGCCAAGTTTCCACTTTTATTTCTTGAACAGCTTTCTCACATAGATTCCTCCTACAAAAATAAAAACAACAAAGAGCAAATTCTAGAATTTTTTTTGCCACAGTAATCAAGGCAGATTACAGGGAAAAAGAGAAAAAAACCAGACAATGAGGAGACCAACAAGACCAGTCTTGTCATGAAAGTGTACCATGAAAGTGTATGCCAAGTCCTTTTGAAGAACGCAGATTTTTACAGCTGGAGGAATGAGCTTTCCAAAGTTCACTGCAGTGGCTGTTCTGTGGTAAAAATAATTCCTAGTGAAGAGATGGATGGCACTGGGGAAGAAGAAAGAAAACATTCTGAAAACAACACACATAGTCCATTAGCCAGGACAGCTAAAGGTGTTGCTGGGCTACTGCACATTGCTATTATAGGTAAGTATATTCCACACCAGAATTTTTTTTCCCTTCATCCAATTAAGGAAAAAAAAAAAAAAAGGGGGCAAGCATAAATTAATCTAGAGATTTGTTGGCAGTTGGTATCTGGAGATAAAAAGCAGCAATTCCTTTAGCTTGACAATGTGAAGAAGACATGATAAATTCCCTCACAACTGATACTGCTATCAGACAATAGGATTCAGCTTATTAGATAAGTAGCCTGAGCACAATATTTGAATTAAAGCATTTAATTCCATTTACTAATGTAAAAGACAGAGTTAGGAAGCATTCCATAATACACAAGTGACCTCTGTGAGAATAGTATGATTTAAATTTTTTTTTTTAATCAAGAGGTTTAAGGTGTCATCACTGTAGGACAGGCTTATGATTTTTGATCTGAAAAAGTCCTCGTGTCAATGAAACATCTTTAAGATATTCTTTAAATTAATTTGTAAATAAATCTCAGTTTCAGCAACCTGAAAACATGATTTGAGGAAATAATCTGAATTATTTTCTGAAATAAGAGTCTCTTGTATTTTACTGTTATGAAAAAACTATTCAGACCTGTTTCCTTAAGAAGCAGAACCTTACTTTTCTATAGTACAGAATAATTTATTACAATCAGAACGATACATTCCTAATGCTTCTGCACCCACCCCTGCTACAAGGGATACTTGAAAAATCTCTTGCAGATTAGCAACTCTAGTCATTTTATCTTCCACCTGGTGATTTTTTGCTACCAGTTAAGCACTCTCCTGTACATAAAACAGCTGTGAGATTACAAGCAAGATACTTGCTTTCCCACAAAAGAGTGCACAAGCAGTTATATAAAAAAAAGCTGGTGGGTGAAGAGTTCCAAATGGATTTGTGTCTACTGTTCAATTCTCTTCTGGCCTCTGCTTGAAGCACATGCCCAGCACCACACCACTTTGACACTATCACTCTCCCTGACATCAGTAAGGAGTGGGCTGACACTGCAGCTGACATCAGAGGCACTCTTTCTTCTTGTGGTGTGTGCATTCACACAACTTGTAAGACTTCTTTGTATTTCTCCATATGAAATTTGACCAAAATTAATGAAGAGGGTCGAAGATCAGCAGAAAAAGGGAGAACTATTTAAGAGGCTTCATTGTTGTCAGGACAAAACAAAAAATCATGTTCCACATTTGAAAAAACAATTCGATATGAAAAATAAAATTTCCTTAGCAATAATTTCCATTCATCTGCAAGCCTGAGAAACACTGTACACCGATTTTATCATGCACTGACACTGAACTAGCACTAGGTAACCGTGGTATATCTCACCACCTCCATTCTTCAGTGCTTGCTGCTACAGTTGTACTTCACTTCAAATAAGCTCCCTGCAGCTACGTAACCTTCACTGGTACAGGTATCAAAACAAGTTTAGCATTAGCCCAGCTATTCTTTCAGGAAATGCAGTCACACCTTTACTGAAACACACCATTAACTCACAAAAAGGCTGCAATGTTTTCAGATGCATTTGTTTCCACCTTATTGGGACAGAAACACATTTTATTCCAAAGAGATTGATGAAGGCAAGAACTGCGGCTGGGTGAATTCTCTACCTAATTGCTTCTGCATCTTAAGGTTACCTGCCTCCATCCATTCCTTACAGACAGGGTTTCATGCTGGCTGCAATTAAGGATACCATAAATTCAAGCTCTGCTAACAAGTTAAGGTTTGAAGTTCATCCGACATACTTTAAATCTTTTATGATTAAAATCTACGTTTCTGAACCACTGCTAAATGCACATTTATTTAATCTAAGAATTAATTTTCCAACAAATGTACCACATCAAAGGAAAAAGTTCACGCAACATGAACCTTCATTATCCCCCCAAGGAGTGAGTTCTTACAGAAGTACAGACATGTTCCTTCAGCTCCAGATAAGCAACTAAAGAGGATGATCAGATGCAAGGAGCAGGAGATGGTGACACAAGCCACCTTCTTCATTTAGTTCCACACTGATAGGTCAGCTAAGTTTTGTTGATTCTTTTACCCTTTCTCTGGTTTGCAGACAAGAGAGACTTGCATCCAAAAGGGACTAGATTTTACTCTTTCTTGCAGTCAAATTGTTCCACACGGGTTACATTATGCCCTTTGTTAGGTTTACAGTTGGTGGTCTTGCTCCAAGGGTTCAAAGGATATTTTACACATTCTTCTAGCTCTCCATGGAAATCAGAGGAAGGAGGGGGAAGCAAGCAAGCAAGCACAAGGAAACATACAGAGCACAACTTAAGGCATCTACAATTTATAATTAATTAAAAAGGTGCATTCTTCAGTTTGGTATTTTGAATCATTTTTTGATTTAAAGCAGAAGAAATCTGCCTTTACGGACTCCACTTAGCTGTCTCCTACACTCAGTGATGCCAATACTTCCCAAGAAACACAACTACTGTGTAAGCAATGCCTACCCGTACGCTCCTTTTCAGAGGTCTATGCCCCAATCTAGCCAGACAATCTTAAAAACACAATATAAATGAACACACTGCAGCCAACTTCATGTCTAGAAAGGCACCACACCCCAAGCAAGTTCTTCTGCCTGGCATTGCTTTTGCCTTTATGCCAACACATCGGAGCAGATGAGCATCTCCCCTTACACAAGAAATGGTCTCCCAGGCAGCCACGGAGGATGTCAAACAATACAGCACTTCAGAGCTCTTTCCTTTATACTCTGCATTCAAATCTGGCATGACCGGTCCCCTGCAGTGTTGCAATTTCTAACACTTTCAATTCTCCGATTTCAGAAATGTTGAGGGACAGGGAAAATACCTCTTCCTACTAAAGCAAAGAAATTAGTTCTCAACTTCCCACAATGACTATGAATTCTTGCTCCCTTGGGTGCCTTAACCAAGTAAGAGATTTAAGGCAACATGTAAGTAAATAGTAAATCCTACATCATGCCCAAATTATTTTCAAGTACTAGAAATGGTAGGCTGCTAGAAACCGCCTGAGCTGAAACTTCTTGCTCAGTTCATTCAGACACTTGAAAGCACACATTCTCATAGGAAGAAAAGAAAAAGTATTTGAGAAAAATAGAGGAAGTTGCAACTTGACTGGTTTTTAAGCAAGAGTGCATATTTTTGTATTAGACTGCACTTTAAGCTGAATGAAATGTCATCTTAGACTCCTCCTAAGAGTTTATTTGCACTCAGGAAATTACGATTCCAGAACAGTATTCTAAGAATGGAAGGGAAAAACCACAGAAAACCTTGCTATAAAACCTGAAACTGATTCAATGATGGACATATTGTTGCCTGTGAAGTAGATTATTAACTATGATCTCAGTTTTTTTTCCAGTCCTTAACAAAAAGCTGATACTGTAACAGCAGTATCTTTAAAAAATCCAGTATGCTATAAATATTACTTTAACTTCAGATGATATATGGGCAGTCTTACATAAAAATGGAGTCATATCTCTCAAGATCACAGCACTTCTAATATAAGAGAAAACACTTCAGAATGGTGGAAACATCAGCACTAATAAACCAGATTAGTAGAGGGATACCTGAGAACTACAAGGGCTCTTGGATATCACAGACCACCAGTAAAAAGAACATTTTTTTATACCTATACCTCATATTGCATCTGTCCCTCTCAATGTTGCTTGCAGTTTCTTATTTTGGCTTCTAATGGGCTTTGAGGGGTTTTGGATTACCTGAAGTACTTGCACCAACTCTCAACATTCACTCGTTATTTGAGAACGCATGAACGCTGTTCAACGAAACACAACTTTTTGTGTCGGTATCTAAGTGTCCCTCACTGGAGACAACTTAACTGACTCAAACACTATTCATCATCTGCAAGATAGAGTACAGTTATTTTATTCCAATAAAGTACATACTTAAAAATATACATGAATCAACCTAGTCCAGAACTGTCCCTTTTCAGTAATGAAGTAAATTCAAAGACTTGAGATATACTACTGCAATTCTAGCACACAAGGTGACTCTGAAGAACTGTTTGAGGACAGAAAATTTTATCTAAGTTTTCATCCAGTGAGACTTCAGAGCAAGAAGAAACCAACACTCTGTGCAACAGGCCCAAGTCACACCTATAACACCTGCAGGACAATGTCCTGGCATCAAGGTCTAAAGCTATGAAAATACCCCTAAAATAAACAAAACCATGCCATCTAATTCTGACTCAAAACACACAGCTGGAAGAAAAAAGGGACTCTATTTTGTGGCAAACTGCAGGTGATGTTGGTCAAGAACTCCTAGAGACTCCAGCACCATTGGGTTCTAAACCATCATCACAGTTTGAAAGACACAAAAATGTACCCAACCACTTGCAAATCACGAGCTGCAGAAGAGACACAGTCAGCTCAGAGACACTGCAAGGCAACGTCACCTTGTGAACAACTGGCAAAGACTGCATTAGCCACAGCTCCAAAAGACCACATTACTATTTTGATCATACTTCTAAATGGACGTGATAAGATACCCAATTACCTCAACATTTAAAGATTTATAGGATAACTGGAGTGCCACAGTATATATAGGACAAACTTATATTTAGCTGTGCCATGAATTTATTGTAAGCATCTTAAATGCTGACCCATACAGTGAATCAGACATCTTGTCTGGAACTGTACAAATGCGATAAAACCTTCTGAAACTCTCAATAAGAAGCAGTAATCAAAATTTTTTTAAACCACTTTATTCAAACCTGAGCACCTCAATATAAAACTAAACACTGGTGAACTGTCATTTTTCTTGCTAAACCCAGATTACTGCAAATTTAAAATCTGCACAAGTAAGTTTCTATCAGTTCAACATTTAAATAGACTAATTCATCTCTTCTGACACACTTTGTAGATTTCATATAATGAAAATAACTAAAAGAATTAGTGCAATATACTGGACTGATCAAAATAAAATGTACTTTGGAAAACAAAGTTGCGAAGTTCATTACTGACAGACAGCAGTACTTATGTTACAGATACAGGAGCATCATTTATTACTGTTCTAGCCATAAAGGAAGAACTCAGAACCCCCTTTGATTAGAGAGAAAAAGTTAGCTTTAAGTAACTGTACATTCTGTATACCTTTAAGCAACTCTTAAATATTACAGAAAGTATTAAACAAATGTAGACTACAATGCAGAGTACCTATTTACAGTACATTAATATCCAAATTTAAAATTAAGTTGGATGTACATAATCATTAGTGCACTATTTTTTTTCCTTAGGGGAAAAACAAACTGTAATGGCCAGCAATGATCAGAAACAAGAAAGAAGTCACAGACACCGAGTTTGTTGTGGTTTTACTTGAAGAGCTCTTACAGTTTGTAGAGGACAAAAAACCCCATATCCTAAGTTGTAGAGTTGAATTTACTGGTCTGTACCCTCTGGACAGATTAGAAATGAAGTTAGACTTGATTCATCACTAATTCATTAAGATAACTAACTGGGTTGATATAATTTACATACAGTGTACCAACTAAAACTCCACTTTCTGGCAAGCATAGGATTCTTAAAATTGTTAATGCAAGTATTATTTGTAATAAAATTATTAACCTATGGAATGTATAACTAAACAGTGGATACCTGCAGAAACAACTGGTTGCATCAATACTGCAAATAAGTTTAAGCAATTTTTAGACCCTGTTTCTAAGTAGGTTTTAAAGCACAATTGAGAATTATGAAAAGACCCAATTCTATTTATTATGACAGTGATCAGTATTGAGGCTACAGGAACTGGCCAATTAGGTCCACAGAAAGTAGTTCTTCTACACCCCTAATAATAACAACTGATTTTTAAAACCTTTCAACTGAAGGAAGTTTATTCCGCTTCCATCTCTCCTCTACTGCTGAAACATTACAGCCAGTGGTGGATACATGCATGTTAAAATTTTATGTCAAAAGAAAAATCTGTATCATGAACTTGAGTATTATCGTAAGTCTCTTCGCTGTTTGGAAGCTGTACTGGACCAGGTTAAGCACTCCAATTCCATGGTTATTAACAGTTAGGAAGCAGAAGAATATTCAGAACAGTTTAAAGCAATTGATCTTTTAGTTACTACAACATTGACTCTTGGGTGGTTGTGTGGGTTCAGTAAGGTCTACTCCTCTTCCTCTGGCAGAGCTGGCTCCTGCATTCTGTGGTTCATTCTTGGGCAATTTTTTTGCTGTAAGGTGAATAGGAAGCAAGAGTTAAACCTGAGATTTTCCTAAGATTAAATTACCTGAGTAAACAGAACAACACACTACAAGCATATCAGTATACTCATCGTATAATCTGATTTGATTCGGTGCATTGGTAATGAAAGAAGTGAAGACACGTAACTTCTCAATGATTAGCTACTTTATCTGTGATTTCCAGGAGTGAAATGCATCGGTAACTTGACCAGTAAAATGTATCTGCACAGGTGTGCCGTGCCAGTAAATGACAGCTCTTGTGGGAATCCACCCACCCGGAACAGGCTTTAAGATCAGGATTTTAGTGCAAAAGGATACAGAAACATTGAAAAGGAACAAAACACAGACAGAAATGGGTTCAAACAGTTCCCAGATATCCAGCCAGAGTAAGTGTTTGTAAACAACACAGAAAATGACCCTCAGCACCATTATCAACCCACTCCTATTTTTTTCAAGCTGTCTCTTCTCCCCAGTTCTTATGAGTCAATTGACTGGTAATTTCTTTGTTGCCCTTGTAGCGCCAAGATTCCTCCCCTGTCTTAACACAAAAAACAAGGGTGAAAGCTGTCACCCTTCTGAGCAGTAGCTTCTCCTAGATTTCTCTCCATCAGAAAATTGCAAAGTTCTACACAAAAGGACTTCCATGGGCCTATCTTAACAGGGCCCAACAACCACCCTTGTTCTATAGTTCGGCTGAAAGGTTTCACTCTAAAGTAATTACTTCTGTCAGTTTTTTAAAGAACTTTTTCTAAAAGGAATGAAATCTAGCAAAAAAAAACCGCAGAGCAGATATCAACATGTTGTGGTGCCAGATAACCTCTGGGTGCTGGGCAAAAGGGTGGGCTACAGGGATCCTCTGAGGTCCCCACCAGCTTGGGCTGTTGTACAGCTCTGTGATAAAACCCAAGAATCCACACAGTACTCAGCTGCTGAGCCAGTACAAAGGGACAATGCACCGACAAATGTCTTCAGAGCAGTGTTTTCGATTTTAGAACTGTATCCAGAACTGAATTAACACTGGGTTTTTTAAATTGAAGTTCTGAATGAGTGCAGAAGCAGTCAAGTTGCGAGCAGCTGAAGCTCGCACCCAATAATTTTTTCAACATTCTCATTTTGAATTTTCTCTCAGCTTTAAGATCATATTTACACATCATCTTGAGGATTGCATTCACATTTTGCAGACCATTCCAAATTACATGCAATATTAATAACCTCATCAAAATTTCAATTCAGTCTATTTCTGCACAGACCTTGTCCTGATGCACTGACAAACCTGAATTTCACTCCACTGATGTAAAACACTCATATGGTCAAGAAACATTGCAGACAAAACACACAGTTACTAACTGGGCATTTTTTTCCTCAGATTTTCTTTGTAGGCTTCATTAAAATATGGAGGCAATAATTATTGTTGATACAGCAAATGTAAAAAGAAAAAAAAAAAAATCAGAGTTTGGGGATTTTTTTTTTTTAAACAGGAAGCAAACTGTACTATTAAACACAATAATTTTGAAATTTCACCAGAACAGTACAGTTGAGCATTTCTGTATCATTAAATGTAGGTCCATGTTGAACACTTATGAGAAAAATACAGTTTCTTGTCATACAGTTCAGTGTTTGTGTCTATCCCCCTTCTTCAAGTATAGTTAATATGAAGCTAGTACTTGTTAAAAAGTGTTGCTATACTGATAATTTAATTTGCATCCGCTGGAAGTTTGAAGGACACCATAAATTACCTCCTGCTCCCCTGACTTGGAAAGCAGAAGATTAAGACCTCTTTAAAAACATTCAATTTTAAGATCAATGATGTTTTTTTCCCAAAAAGTGGGTTAGAGAGGTGCAACAGACAAAACAGACTGAATGAAGTTATTTGATGCTATGCATTACTTTTATGCAGTAGCAAAGCATTTACTATAATTAAGGGTACTACTAAATAGATTAGTGGCCAGCCTAAAAATTAATTTTTTTCCCCTCTACTTTCATAAGTTTATTAACAATTAAATACAATTAAGGTATCAATGGAACACACAAAAATTCTTGGTTTATACTTGCTACTACATGTTAGCATCTTTACAGAAATCCCTAAGATTATGTTAATATATGAGTAGATTTACTTTGCACATGCAGTGTCCTTTGCTTATAGCTTAGACACTGAATTTAGGCACACACTGCCATCTCTGGCACAGCTTTTGGATTTCAGATAGCTGCTTAAACAAAATTAAACAAATGAAAGGGCCTAAAGACACTTCAATACCAGAAATAATTTACATAAAAATTTAGATATTTTAGGTTAGGAAGATTGTCATGGTCTGAATCTCATTAAAACCATGCCCTTCAATGTTCTCAGTTTGTTCATAAACTCACCAATTGCCATGAATATTTCATTTACGTTCATAGATGTTTTGGCAGATGTCTCCATGAACAATAGGCTGTTGTCATCTGCATAAGCCTGTGCTTCCTGAAAGTTAAAGTAAGAATATATTACTTCATTAAAAAAAAAACAACTCATACAATCATTACACACTGTACTTTTAATTGCTAAAAAGGAGCAATCTCGACAGCATTTTGAAGGAAAGACAGTTTGTGGAAACACTCATCTGACAATGTTATACACCAGCTATGGAAAAGTTACAATTCTACCAATCAGTTAAACAATTAGAAGTGGAAACTTAAAGATCCCTACTAATCTTAAAAATATCCAGGTGGAAAAAGCTCAGGCTAAACTAAATAATAAATGAAAATATTTATGAAAGAGACAACCCCAATGCAGAACATTTGCTCTGATAGTAAGAACAAATATGCTTCAGAAAGTGTCATCAAATGTCAGCAAGTCCATTATTACCCTGGAAAAAGACAGTCTGTGAACTATCTTGAATCTTTCAACCATTGAGGCAGATGGATCAGAACAGTTTTATTACCCTGATAAAAATTCAGTTGCAGCAAATAAGCAGTATTCAGTATTTGCCCATGTTACCTCCCTTTTCAGTATGAATTTTAATCTGATACACTGCTCATAAGAACCTATTTTTGCCACTTCTTATTAGTCAATTCAGCTGAGAATCTCCAGCTTCTTATGATTATGTAACTGCCTTTGCATTCAATAATGCAAATAATGAAATCTGCAAGAAAGCTGAACTACAGAACACCTATGATGATAAGAGTAATCTACAGCACTCTGTAATTAAGTGACAACCGCTAAGATCTTCATAATTATATCT